CGAGGTAGTACTTTACCTCCCCAAGGTTCTTGCACTTGAAGTTCTCCATCAGCTGCTGCTGCACCTTCTGGATCTCCTTCATGCTGCTGCTAAAGAGAAGAATGTCGTCCACATAGACCAGAAACAGCACCAGCTTCTCCCCCTCCCCCTTGAGAAAGAGGCTCTCATCACAGCTGCTGGTCCTGAATCCCATCTCCTCTAAAACAGCTGCCAACTTCTGGTACCAGCAGCGTGGCGCCTGCTTCAAGCCGTAGATGGACTTTTTCAGCTTGCACATCCTGCCCGTACCATCCTCATACCCAGGTGGCTGCGTCATGAACACCTCCTCCTCTAAAATCCCGTTGAGAAATGCCGTTGATATGTCCATCTGGATAATGAACTTCCCACTAACGGCTGCATCTGCCAACAAGACACGAAGGGTAGGGGGTTTGGCAGTGGGAGCAAAGATCTCATTGAAGTCCCGCTTCTCCTTCTGCATAAACCCCTTAGCCACCAACCTACTCTTGTAGATGGTGACCTGCCCCTTGTCGTCAGTCTTGATCCTTAGCACCCACTTGCATTGTACCGCTTTCTTTCCCTCAGGCAGCACCACTAGTTCCCAAGTCCCATTCTCCAGCAGGCTCTGGTATTCAGCATCCCTGGAAGCTAGCCATTTGTCCCTATCTGGTCCAGCTAATGCCTCCTCCATGCTAGCTGGTTCCTCTGGTGCAGGGGCAAGAAAACAGTACGCAGGTTGATCCTCCTCATCCGGGTCATAGCCATGCGGTAGAATCAGCAATGCCTCCTCGGTCCCAAGCTGCTGCTCCGCTACATCAGCTCCTGCAGTCAGCTTCTTAGTAGCCATACGGGTACGTCCTGGCCTGGAGACGGGTGTCTCCCATCCCTTCATAATAACACCCTTCGGCTTCTTAGTTTTCCCCTGCTGCTGCTCTCCTCCCTCGGATCCAGCAGCTCCACTAGTGCTACCGCTAATCTCCACACCATCACCTCCACGAGCAGGTGCCTCCTGCACCTTCTCTTTATCACCACCCTCTGCAGCTGCCTCCTCTCCCTCCTCCCACACACTAGGAGTCAGGTCCAGCTGCATGGTAATCTGCTCCATCTGCTGGGACACCCTGGCCTCCGGCTGTTTCTCCCAGCTCCCATACATCATGCCCTCAACAAACTTCACATCCCTGCTGTCAAACAACACACCCTTGGAAGGCTCCCACAGCAGCCATCCCTTGCTCTCAGCAGCCAGCCCCAAATGCACACACCAGATTGCACTCGCCCTCAACTTACTGCGGTAGGTCTTGGGAACGTGGGCGACTGCCATGCAACCGAACACCCTCAGCATGTCCACCGGCGGCTTCCTCCCAAGCCACCTCTCCAACGGCACCCACGAGTCATCCCCAACCTTTGTGAGTACCCTGTTCCTAGCGACGGTAGCGTGCCGAACAGCATGGGGCCACATCAAGTTGCCCAGCCCAGATTCTATGAGCAGCGCCCTAGCTGTCTCCAGAATTGTCCGGTTCGCCCGTTCTGCTACACCGTTGGACTGTGGGGTGTAAGCCGTGGTCAGCTCCCTCTGGATGCCCTGCTTCTTGAGCCAGGCCGTTATCTCAGCTCCAAGGAACTCACCACCCCGATCTGTCCTAATCCGCTTCACCACACACTCCGCTTGCTTCTCCACGAACGGCAGCCAATCGTCCCGAATCGTGGAGGCGGCGTGATCTTTCTGCTTCAGCGGATACGCCCACATTAGCCTGCTCCAGTCATCCACTATGGTTAGGAAGTACCGCTCCCCCTTGTGCCCTTGCACCGGCAGCGGCCCCACCAAGTCCATGTGGACCAGCTCCAACGGCTTTTTGCTCCTGCCAGCCACACTATGGAAGGGGAAACGGGTGAACTTTGAAAGGAGGCAAATTTCACAGTTATCATCGGGTGGTTGTCCGTTCAGCTTTAAGCCCTTAACGGCTCCATCCTTCTCCAGCTGCTTCAGCAAAGGCATTGCCACATGCCCCAAACGTCGGTGTGCAGTTGCCCAATCTGTCTCCCCAGATCTGGCCGACACTTTCACACCAACCCCTCCAACGGCGTTGCACTCCCCCTGGGATGCAGACCCCTCTCCAGCCTGCCCCCCACCGTGCCATGCCAGCGCCGGCAGCTGCCACATAGATCTGTACACGTCCTTGCTCTCGTGCAGATCCCAAAGCACCCGATTGCCCAGCTTCCCCTTATAAGTGCGAGCCCCATCCGTGTTGGTGTTCACCCCAGACTTGCCAAGCTTACGGAGGGAGATGAGGTTGGCCTTCAGGTCGGGGACGAGGAGAACGTCGTGCAGCACCACCGGCTTGCCATCCGCTCCCTTAAATGCAGCTCGTCCCGCACCAGCCACCTTCAACATGTGTCCAGAGGCAGAGCACACCTCATTAATCGGTGCAGCGCGTACGTCGTCCAGCAGGTCCTTGCGCGGCGTCATTGTCCAAGCAGCGCCTGTGTCCAACACCCAATAGTCCAGGGGGTGCAGCTCTGCTCCAGCCTTAGCAGATGCGTCTCCTTGCTCCCCCTTGTCTCCCATATGGAAGAATTGGCCCGCGGTGCGCTCCTTCTTCTTCTCCGCACCGCCGTTGCCCTTCGGGTTGTTGTCGGACGAATCAGCGACCATGTTGGCGCCGTTTTTCTGGTTCCTCCGCGCGCCGCCATCCTGGTGACGATTCTGGGGGGTCCATCCATCGGGTTTCTTATAGCACAAAAACCAGGGGTGCCCTTCCTTCTCACAATACCAGCAACTCCCTTTCATTTTGCCACCAGCACCCGACTTGCCCCCACGTCCAGATTTCGCACCGCGACCCCAACCGGTACCTCCTTGTTGGTCGTTGGAGTCGTCGTCTTTCTTTGCACCGCGTCCAGCACCACCGAAGCCACGTCCTTTGCCACGTCGGCTCCCTTGCATCCCGTAGCCGCTGCTGCCGTCGTCTCCACCCCTCAGTTGGCGGCGACGGAAGTCCTCCTCCAGAATCTTCGTCCGCACCCACTCGAGCGTCCACAAGCTCTGGTTCTGCGGCAGGCTCAATCCGCTCGTAAATTGAAGCCACGATTCCGGCAGCAGCGAGAGCATCTTCAAGCACTTTGTTTGCTCCGGGTAGGTGATTCCTGCGGTCGCCAACTTCGCGTAGAGGTCGCGCAATTTGTCCAGGACAGGTTGCACCGGCTCTCCCTCGCTCAGGCGCAACGCGGACAACTCCCTCTCCAGCATCAATGTTGCAACAACGGAGGTCGGGGCGTGCAGCTCCTTCAACACCGTCCACGCCTTCGGACCGCACTCAACCTCCGGCAGCAGGTGCATGACGTGGTGACGCTGGTTCAGCTCCAAACTCTGCGACATCAAGTAGTAGCCAGCCGAGGCGCGCTCGTCCCAATCTTCCTGAAGGGCGGGGTCACTCGGTCTAGGCTCCTCCCCAATCATTAGTTTCAGCAATCCGATTTGACGGAAATAAAGTTGCATTTTCCAGGCCCAATCATCATAGCCCTCACCATTGAACTTCTCGACGGTGAAGTTTTTCAGCACCTCCTTGATCAGCGAGCCCTGGCTTGTTCGCGCTCCCCTTGGCGCAGAAACACCAGAATCATGGCTGCCGCTACGATCTTGGGCTGAAGATTCACCAGCTACCGCCGAGGTGTTGCCCGCCATAGCTACCTATATCGAGGATCGCTATAACGCAGCTCTGATACCAGCTTGTTGGTGTAAGGGCCTAATAAACTCAAGCTATTAAGACTTTATCACACTTAAAACCTCTCCTCGGGGTCACCTCCAAGGGTCCTTGGGTGCCTGGTACAAGACCAGCCCCTATCCTCGGGTCCGAGTTTGTAGAGAGAGGGATCAAGAGGGACTTAGTCAAAACAGCAAGAGTACCTTGAACGTCGCGCAGCGTATCGTGCAGACCGTCGATCGGATTAAGCTGAGATTTTTCTATATCGAAGCTCACTCTAAGAGCTTTAAAATAAGCCAAGTTGCCTCGCGAAAAGTTCTGCCATTACGAAGTTATGGCTCGGACAGCGTTAGCCTAGCGTTGGAGTGCTAGCGTACTAGCGTTGACTCGGGTAGCATTCCGCCGTCGCACCGCGTAGAAAGGAAATTCCAGCAAGGAAGGAATTCGCTTGAATCAATTTCACTATATTCAGGTACAAACAGAGAAGGAATAAATAGCTCTAGCTAGCAAGGACCTTGGGAATCAACCTGGGAACAACCAGGGATGATCCCAAATAATTCCAAGCAACAGAACCAACCTGGCTGGACAAAATAGCAGGTGATAGGTTGGTGAACAACCTCTGGTTCTGTTTTTCCAACCTGGGGAAACAACAACCAGGTTCAGGTCCTAAAAACAGAACCTGTTTTGTCTTTGCCCAACCAGCCAAATGCTGGTTCCGCTGGTTTCCCCTGGCCCTGTAGCATGCAGATACAGACAAACAACATCCAACCTTCACCTAAATTGTACCCCTATAGTGCCTGCCCTGCTACACTATAGTCAACCAAACAAAACAGTACAATTTCGAGTTGGATAGAACTGAATCTGCGCAATCAAGTAAGTTGAACCGCAAAGCTTCCATCTTGGGTTCCTTTGCGAGCTCGTCCTTTCTGCTTGTACTGTTCATAGCGCGTACAATGTTATGCCGAAGCGCACATTTTGCGAGTACCTGCAAATGCTTCAAGCGAAAATTGCGAAAGCAAACAAACACACAAACATACCATTCACACGCAAATGCATTCGCACACGCATACTCGTACAAACAGACGGCAGGATGTCGTGCAATGTGAATTTGCACCCAACAGAGAGAAGAGGTGGGGACTCATACGGGTTCCCTGGCTTTCTTGGCCAATTCACAATGCCGCGCCGACGAAGCCAGGCGCGAACAATGCGACCGAATGCGTCGGGTGTCTTGATGACGCGATGTCAGTGAAGAGGTTCCCGCTCAAGGCACTAGGTTGTGGCAATGGTGATAGGATCCTGCGAGAGACACTAAAGCGGGGATGGATAGAGAGGAGCGAGGGGAGAGGGGGGCGCCATGGAGGGCGGCCGGGCCATTTGTGCATTACGCGAGTGTTCGAGCAAAAGATGGGAAGCAGGGGGGAGAAGGAGGGGAGCAGGGGGAGAAGGAGGGGAGCAGGGAGGAGGAGGTGGGGAAGCAGGGGGGAGAAGGAGCGGAGTAGGGGGGAGGAGGAAGGGAAGCAGGGGGGAAAAGGAGGGGAGCAGGGGGGAGAAGGGGGGGAAGTAGGGGGGAGAAGGAAGGGAGAAGGGGGGAGAAGGAGGGGAAGCAGGGGGGAGAAGGAGGGGAGCAGGGGAGAGAAGGGAGGGAAGCAGTGGGGAGAATGAGGGGAAGCAGGGGGGAGAAGGAGGGGAAGCAGTGGGGAGACGGAGGGGAAGCAGGGGGGAGAAGGGGGGGAAGCAGGGGGGAGAAGGAGGGGAAGTAGGGGGGAGAAGGAGGGGAAGCAGGGGGGAGACGGAGGGGAAGCAGGGGGGAGACAGAGGGGAAGCAGGGGGGAGACGGAAGGGAAGCAGGGAGGAGAAGGAGGGGAAGCAAGGGGGAGACGAAGGGGAAGCAGGGGGGGGGAAGGAGGGGAAGCGAGGGGGAGACGGAGGGGAAGTAGGGGGGAGACGGAGGGGAAGCAGGGGGGGGACGGAGGGGAAGCAGGGAGGAGGAGGGAGAGCAGGGGGGAGACGGAGAGGAAGCAGCGGGGAGAAGGACGGGGGTGCTGCTAATCAACCAGCACGGAGGGGAGTGCGCATGGGTGACGGAGGGGAAGCAGGGGGGAGAAGGACTTTAGGGTTTGCAAGGGGGGAAAGGACGGGGCTGCTGCTAATAAACCGGCACAGAGGGGAGTGCGCATGGGCGCCGGAGGGTAGCGATCTCCCAGGGTTGGCCTTGAAGGAGGGAGCGAGTGTGATGACGGGATACGTCGCATGCTCAACTGGAGGGAGCGAACACGCGCGGCGGAGGGAAGTGCGCGTGGGCGACGGGAGGAAGTGAGGGTGGGCGACGGAAGGAGCTGCAACTGTGCGATGGACTGTGCAAACCCGCGACGGAAGGGGAGTCATTGTGGAACAAGGGTGTGTGTGAGCGCGGGCCAAAGAGGGGGGTGAGCGCCAGCGACGGAGGGGAGTGCGCGAAAGCGATGGGAGAGGAGTGAGCGCGGACGACGGAGGGGAGTGTGCGTAGGCGACGGGAGAGAGTAGGCGTGGCGGACGGACCTGCTTTGCGCCTAGTGGGCTGCGTCGTGGGGGCCAGGGATAGTCCGCGATTTCCCTGTTCGTACCGCGCACTTTGTGATGGCGATAGTCGCCGCCACCCCGTTCGCGCATGGAGCGGTCCGCCTCGCCGTCGCGGAGAAATGCGCGCTAATGGCGCAATGCGGTGTACGAGTGGCGGAAGAGCCTAAGTGCGCCCGAGATGATTCATGCCCCGGCGAGATGATTGCGATGGTCAATCAAGAATTTGTTGAGGTTATGACGAGCTGTACTGTGCTACTTCAGCTTTCTAGTTTAGTGTCGGGTGAACCCTGGCTAATCGTAGTATGTCCCTTGTATTTTCACTTGCTGTAGTTCACTTGCTGTGATCCTCGCGCGTCATGCTCATGGTTCACAAACTGCTGGCTGTGCTGCAAGTTCCCAACTTGCAGTAGGGTTGTTGCTCGCGACGACGGGGGAGAGAGCAGACGGCGCAACTCCGCCAACACTGAACTTTGGTTGAGTTTCGGACCCCCAAGCACAAACAGGGTAACCACCCAAGGAAAGTGATAAACCTTTGGGTCCACCCCCCCCAAAGTGCAAGCTTGCATTAATAATTACACTCGTGCAAAATTGCCGTATATAAGAATTGTCTTCGGACTGGTCAAATACTTAAAGATTAAGACTTGGAAATGTAAGGGTTGTTATTGTCGACGAAATATCAATTGTTGGGAAAAACGCATTCGAATGGATACATTTTAGGCTTCATGAGCTTACGAATAACGCGAACGTTCCTTTCGGAAGGTTCCATATGGTTTCTGTTGGGGAATTTTTCCTATTCTTTTCAATCCGTGAGATCCGTTTTGACGATCGTACACGTATATATGATTTAGATATTTGAGGACGTGTACAAGTTGTAGAGCTTACGACGATTATGCGACAACGCGAAGAGGTCAGATTTGCCGAATTGTTAAACCGTTTATGCAAAGAGGCCAAAAGTACTATGGGCATAGACCGACAAATTGATACTTCTTCGAGAAAAACAAGCTTGCAACATTTGTGCTGCACTAATAAAGCTATTGACTCGTTTTGTGAAGAAATGAGGAATGAAGAAGAGAGGGGTTGAACTAGCAGCAGTTGGCATACATATAGGAAACCCTAATTGGGTTGTACTCGCTATAGAGTACCCCACTGACGGCTAGACAATTATAACATTCTGACACACCCCCATAGCCAAAGTGGGGTGTAATCAGCACAATAAGCAAGCATGCATAGAGCAGGAGTTCACAGTAGCGAGCAAAGCTAGAGTTAATCACAGCGGGCAAGTGAGGAGGAGGAGGAACTGTGGAGGGAGAGAAGATGGGAGGCAGCGATGTCAAACTCATATTATATAGCTTGTCTAGGCTATAGTGGGGTAGACACTATGGGGTACAGTTTCCTAGGGTTTCCTACTTGTACCCAACCTTGTGCTAGTTCATTCAGTCCTCATTCTTTCACATGGTATAGAGCAGGTTCCCTAGTGAAAACGCTTCATTGGGCCCACCACTGAAAATTGTTTTTTTCTGACCGGAGCGCCAGTCGCTGCTGCTCGAGGCGCGCCCTGTGGGCCGCCCTTCCGTCGAGGTCCCTTAGAGGCCCCTCCCACGGCCCCCCGTGCCGCCCCTCGCGGCCTCTAGTGGCCCCGTTGCCGCCCCTACGCGGCCCCATAGCCGCCCCTAGCGGCCCCGTCGCCGCCCCCTACGCGGCCCCGTCGCCGCCCCTAGCGGCCCCGTCACTGCCCCTAGCGGCCCCGTCGCCGCCCCTAGCGGCCCCGTTGCCGCCTCTCTACCTACGCGGCCCCCTCGCCGCCCCTAGCGGCCCCGTTGCCGCTCCCCTCCCTACGCGGCCTCTTCGCCACCCCTAGCGGCCCCTTCAGCCGCCGAGCCGCCCAGCAGCCGAGCTGCCAAGCAGCCGGGCCGCCTATCCGCCGGACAGCCGAGCCGCCCAGCAGCCGAGCCGCCGAGCAGCCGAGCCGCCCAGCAACCGACCCGCCGAGCCGCCCAGCAGCCGAGCCGCCGAGCCGCCGAGCGGCCGAGCCGCCGAGCCGCCCGACAGCCGAGTCGCCCGACAGCCGAGCCGCCTGACAGCCGAGCCGCCCAGTAGCCGAGCAGCCGAGCCGCCGAGCCGCCCAGTAGCCGAGCCGCCGAGCCGCCCTACCGTCGAGCCACTACTATTCCTACCGGCACGCCCCGGCCCTACTTACTCGGACTGGTGAGATCACTCCCTGTTAGGCCACTCCAGTCATGGCTACCCCCAGTGTTCTTACCTTTGATACTGAGGGTCGTGCTGTTGACTTTGAGGTCTGGGTCGATGACCTCCAGCTCTTCCTACAGTGCGATAGGGCTGACGGACTCTCCCTGTTCGATCTCACCTCTGGTGCCTCCCGTGCCCCGCCTGCTACTGCTAATAGCACTGTTCGCTCTCAGTGGGCCACACGCGATGCTGCTGCCTGTCTTGCTGTGCGTCGCCACTTACCGACCACTGAGCACGAGGGAAGCGTGGGTGCAGTCCCTTTCCCCACGAAGTTTTCACATGAAGCGTGGGAAGACGGTAAGACGGTAGTTGTGCGTTGGGGTGAAAACTTGATGTGAAAACTACAGGGCACACTGCTGTTGCACTCCCATCGGCGGTGCGCACGCTCACCACTGAGACGGTAGTTTTCACATGAAGCGTGGGAAGTTTTCACTGAAGTACATCCCGACCGTTGACCAGCCGGCCGACTTGCTGACGAAGGCGCTGCACTATTGGGCCTTCAACCAGTGCTCCGTTGCCATTGGCCAGGTGCGCTTGGTCGACGTGGGCGACGGGGACAACGACGTGCAGTAGTAGGTGTCATGTTCTCGTGCATGGCTGGTGCGGTGACCGGCGTGCCATGTGTTGGGTGCACGCGGACGAGCTATTCTTCGAGCAGTGATGCCGTGCGGGCTGGGGACCCAAGCGTGAACGCGGCAGGGGAGTGTCAACGGGAGTTGTTGTTGGCCCCGTCCTCGCTTGGGCGGAGCCAACTTCGTAGTTGGGTGTACAGGAGCTCGACTTGGTGGTCGGCGATGTGGCACGTTGACCTGGAAGTCGGCACCGACTTACGAGGTCGCCGACTTGCGGGGTCGCCGACTTGCGAGGTCGCTGACTTGCGAGGTCGCCGACTTGCGAGGTCGCCCACTTGCGAGGTCGCCGACTTGCGAGGTCGCCGACTTGCGAGGTCGCCGACTTGCGAGGTCGCCGACTTGGGAGGTCGCCGACTTCAAGAGGTCGGCCCAGAAGTTGGTGCCGACTTCTGGTAGCCGACTTGGGTGGTCGGCTGACCACTGTGCTGGTCGACGTGGAGCTGGTTGACCAGGAGTGACGTCGACCTGGAGCTGGTCGACCAGGGGTGTAGTCGACGTGGTGAGGTCGAATGGAGGTGAACGTTGACTTGGGAGGTCGACGGGCACATACAGGAGCACCTGGTCGTCGTGGTTGCCCGGTCGACCAGGTTACCTGGGTGACGAGGTTCTGCAAAAGACTCCGACGGTCGCCCAGGCGATCTTGGCGAGACTGACCTCGATGGTGGTATCCCAAGGTCGACGTGGCGGATCAGGTAGAGTCGTCAGCACGAGGATGACTTGGTGTGTGCGTTGTGCAGGTGACGAGGCTCAGCACGCCAATCATCTGCGAGCACCTACGAAGCTAGTGCGCTGCTGTTCTGCGGGAGCAACGCTGGCACGCCGTCGACCTGCAGCGCTGGCACGTCGTCGACTTTGCGCTGCTGGAACGCGGTCGACCATGCTGCGCTGGCAGTCGACCGATCTGAATGCTAGCTCTGATGTAGTCTTGTCTTGCCAACCTGATTGTACTATTGTTGTCAACTTTTTCTAGTGAAACTCTTGCCAACATGCCCCGTGAACTAGCAAGCAGTGTGTGCACTAGGAATCGACTAAGGACCAACGAACGCAGAGATCACTTGAGCACCTGTGCCTAGCCCGTAGTCTAGCTCCCGTTGTAGTAGTTATCTCCGCAGCCCGCCCGCGTCCCCTCTTCCGCCCGCGCCCCCTCGCCCGCCGGCACCCCCTCGCCCGCCCGCGCCCCCTCGCCCCCTCTGTTGTAAAGGACTCTCCTCTACTTTGCAGGAACTGGGATTTGCACTAAACGATAGAGCACTCTGCTAGCTTTCCAACGATCCGTTAAGCACCCAATTCGCCCAAGTAACGAGGGAATTCTAGGCGTTTATGTGCTTGCTAGTGCTCTTTGAACAAAGGATAGGAACTCTCTGGATTTTGTAGTCGAGTGTATCACATACAAAGTGATTCAGGTTTTCATTATGATCCATGCAATATAAAGCATACAAATTTATATGAACGGCAATGCATCGAGTCGCACATGTAAACACAAGTCGCTATTCTCTCGAATGTTCGAGAAACATGTCGAATGGGTGAAATTCGGAACTCGAATTTCACCGAATATGAATAATTTAGAAATATATTTCAAATTTAATGATTGTGACAAGATTCGGAAAAAGGGGAATGCAATAAGGAGGCATTCCCATCTTATCTTTCGGCAGGTCCACAGACCTGCCACCTAGTTGTCGAACTTATATCATATAGCTTGTCTAGGTTATAGTGGGGTAGACACTATGGGGTACAATTTTCCTAGGGTTTCCTACTTGTACCCAACCTTGTGCTAGTTCATTCATTCCTCATTTCTTCACATGGTATAGAGCAGGTTCCCTAGTGGGAACGCTTCCTAGGGCCCACCACAATTTTTTTCCTGCCCGGAGCGCGCTTTGCTGCTGCCCGAGTCGCACCCCGTATGCCTCCCTACCGTCGCGCCCTCTCACGGCCCCTCACGGCCCCTTCGCGTCGCCCTTAGCGGCCCTTCTCACGGCCCCTCGCGCCGCTCTTACGGCCCCTCGCGCCGCCCTTACGGCCCCTTACAGCTCCTCGCGCCGCCCGTCGGCCCCTCGCGCCTCCCTTGCGGCTCCTTACGGCCCCTCGCGCCGCCCTTACGGCCCCTCGCGCGGCCCTTTCCGGCCCCTCGCGGCGCCCTTACGGCCCCTTACGGCCCCTAACGCCGCCCTTTGCGGCCCCTCGCGGACTCTTTACGGCCTGTCGCCACCCTCCGCGGCACCTCGCGCCGCCCTTCACGGCCCCTTCGCCACCCTTCGCGGCCTCTCACGGCCCTGTCGCCGCCCTTCGCGGCCACCTCGCCGCCCTTAGCGGCCCTCGCTGCCGCCCCTAGTGGCCCCATCGCCGCCTCTACAGGCCCCTTCACCGCTGAGCCGCCCAGCAGCTCAGTCAACAAGCCGCCCAGCGACCGAGCCGCCAAGCCGCCGAGCCGCCCAGCAACCGAGCTGCCGAGCCGCCCAGCACCCGAGCCGCCCAGCAGCCGAGCCGCCGAGCCGCCCAGCAGCTGAGCCGCCAAACCGACGAGCCGCCCAGCAGCCAAGCCGCCCTGCCGCCGAGCTGCCGAGCCGCCCAGCAGCCGAGCCGCCCAGCAGCCGAGCCGCCGAGCCGCCCAGCAGCTGAGCCGCCCAGCAGCCCTGCCGTCGAGCCGCTACTGTTCCTACCGGCGCGCCCTGGCCCTACTTACTCGGACTGGTGAGATCCCTCCCTGCTAGGCCACTGCAGTCATGGCTACCCCCAGTGTCCTTACCTTTGATGCTGAGGGTCGTGCTGTTGACTTTGAGGTCTGGGTCGATGACCTCCAGCTATTCCTACAGTACGATAGGGCTGACGGACTCTCGCTGTTCGATCTCACCTCTGGTGCCTCTCCTGCCCCACGTGCTACTGCTGACAGCACTATTCGCTCTCAGTGGGCCACACGCAATGCTGCTGCCCGTCTTGCTGTGCGTCGCCACTTACCGACCACTAAGCGTGCGCACTTTAACCAGTACAAGAGTGCTCAGACCTTGTACGACGCTGTAGTTGCGCGCTACTCCTCCCCTGCCACTGCTGCGCCTAGCCGCCTCATGCTGCCGTACCTGTTCCCTAACCTTGGTTCCTTTCCCACTGTCGCTGACCTCATTACGCACCTTCGCACTAGTGACACTCGCTACTGCGCTGCGCTTCTTGCTGAGTTCTGTGCCAAGAACCCCCCCCCCCATGTACATCACCCTCTACTACATAGTCACCCGGCTCCCTGACTCCCTTCGCTTAGTCAGGAACCACTTCCTCTCAGTTTGCCCCACCACACTCACTGTTGACCTCCTCGAGGAGCGCCTCCTAGCAGCAAAGAAGAGTATAGTCGCTGTAGGAGCCTCTCGTGGTGACCCTCACACCCCCGTCTTTGAGGGGTGTTCCCCTTCCCCCCTCTTGCCCTCTGTTGCTTCTGCTGCTGCTGCCGACCTCGTTGGTTTCGAGTCGGTCGGCGCGGCGTCTGCCCCGAGCGGGAGACGCCGCACCGGCAAGGGCAAGGGGGGTAAGGGCGCTGGAGGGGCTGGCGGGGGCGGTGGAGGTGGTGGTGGAGGCAGTGGAGGGGGTGGGGGTGGTGGTGGGAGTGGTGGCGGGGGGGGGAGGTGTCGGTGGCAGTAGTGGAGGCGGAGGAGGCGGCAGCGGTGGCGGAGGGAGCGGAGGCGGCGGAGGTGGCGAGGAGATCTCGCTGCGCCGCCCTCAAGGCTTCACTGGGCCGTTTCCTCCTGGTACCCAGTGGAGCCTCCGGCGGCCAGTCTACGGTCTACGCCTGGCGCCCCGTGAGTGGCACGACACACTGAGGACTACACTTGCGGCTCTTGGGTTTGCTCCTTCTACAGCCGACCCGTCACTGTTTCTGCGCACCGACACCTCTTTGCCGCCGTTCTACATCCTCGTGTACGTCGACGACTTGGTCTTTGCCACTGCTGACACGGCTGGACTAGCCCACGTGAAGTCCGAGCTGCAGAAGAGACACACGTGCACAGACCTGGGTGAACTGCGCAGCTACCTTGGCTTGCAGATCACCCGGGACAGAGCACAGCGCACCATTACCCTGACTCAGTCACACATGGTGCAGCAGGTCCTTCAGCGCTTTGACTTCACGTACTCCTCGCCTTAGGCCACTCCTCTGTCTACTCGCCATTCGCTCTGAGCTCTGCCTTCGGATGAGTCCGTAGAGCCGAGTGGCCCGTACCCAGAGCTTGTTGGCTGCGTCATGTATCTGATGACCTGCACACGACCTGACCTTGCATACCCTCTTAGCATCTTGGCACGCTATGTTGCTTCTGGGAGACACCGACCACAGCACATGGCTGCAGCGAAGAGGGTGTTGCGCTACTTGTGCAGTACGTCGGGCATGGGGCTAGTGCTTGGAGGGCGACGTCCAGTGGTCCTCACAGGTCACGCAGACGCTTCTTGGGCTGACGACCAGGCTACGCAGCGGTCGTCACAGGGTTACACCTTCAGCCTTGGCTCCGGCTCTGTCTCGTGGCGGTCTACCCGCTTGTCTTCTGTTCTCGGCTCCAGCTGTGAGGCTGAGATCTACGCGGGGGCCATGGCTGCACAGGAGCTACGCTGGCTCACCTACCTGCTGACTGACCTAGGAGAGTCGCCTCGTTCTCCTCCAGTTCTGTACGTAGACAACAAGGCCATGCTGGCCTTGTGTCGGGAGCACAGACTGGAGCACAGAACGAAGCACATTGCTCTCCGCTACTTCCTTCCTCGTGAGCTGCAGCAGCGTGGTCAGCTGCGCCTTGCTTACGTGGCCTCTGAGGCCAACACTGCTGATTTCTTTATCAAGGCACTTCCGCCTGGTGATCATCAGCGCTTCTGTACTATGCTAGGTCTTGTGCCTACTTGGCCTCACTTGCTCACTTATTGACCTTGCTTGTACTGTGATCTTTCTATACCTGCACTTGCCTGTTTACTTTTATATATGATCTTGCATGTGAACTGGCCTTGTGGCCTTGCTCTTGTGCTCGTATTGTGTGGTGACGTTGTGATCCACCCTGAGCTTGCCTTGCTTTTCTTAACAGGTCTTGTGACCTCTTGTTCTCCCTTACTTTGCCTATGGGGGTGTGTCGAACTTATATCATATAGCTTGTCTCGGCTATAGTGGGGTAGCCACTATGGGGTACAATTTTCCTAGGGTTTCCTACTTGTACCCAACCTTGTGCTAGTTTATTCATTCCTCATTTCTTCACACTAGTCTCATTTCACTCATCTGAATTTGAGTTTCCGCCCGTCCCACTCTTGCGCGTTATGCATCGATGCTAGTTAGCTTATTTTCATTCGGTAGCTTTGCGTACCATTGCAACATATATATAATGTGCCTTGTAAATTGATGATGAATGTATGACGAGTGCATTGCAAACTCTTTTCAGAGTCTTGTCATAATCGAATTCTCCTTGAGTCTCGATTCTTCTTCTGCTGCCATGTGGCACGGAAGTGCAGGTTCTTCCGAAGTCAACCCATATTTCTTGGAACGTGCAACACATTCATGAAACTTCCAACTTGCAGCTCACTCAACCGTGAGCACTAGAAGGAACACTTACGGTGGTTGGGGGCAATCCTTGCCTCATGCAACCTCCAACACTCCCCCCTGCACCCAAGCGACTAGGTGTTCATACCAACATGCTCACAGTATGCACGGAATGAGTCCTTAGGGGGTGGTTCCATGAGAGAATCCGCATGTTCATCGTCACCCTTAGTCGCGAAGCAAAATGCCGCACCCCCCTTATCCAACTCCCCAACGGCTACCGTAGCGTAGTCAGTGTAATTGGATTGAGAACGGCGTACGCGAGGCTGGTGGGTCAAGGCCAATGGTAGGGAGGAAGGTGTGGAGGTAGTTTCCACCTAGGTTGGTGACACCTCCACAACATCATCAACGCTTTCCGTGTTGTGCTCCCCCCCCTCCTTTTGCGACTTCACTTTCCACTTGTGGTGGAACTTCACTCTGTTCAACCTCCTCTCGTGGCAAAAGGACGAAGGTGACTTGCAGAGCTGGTTTCTCCTTCGTCGGGAACTTGTCTTCGTCGAACACCACATCCCGAGACGTCACAACGCGCCTTTCACCCAAGTCCCACACTCGCCATGCACGCTTGTTTAGCCCAACTCCCAAGTAGATTGCCGCACGAGCTTTCGGTTGCAACTGTTGGTGTAAGGGCCTAATAAACTCAAGCTATTAAGACTTTATCAAACTTAAAACCTCTCCTCGGGGTCACCTCCAAGGGTCCTTGGGTGCCTGGTACAAGACCAGCCCCTATCCTCGGGTCCGAGTTTGTAGAGAGAGGGATCAAGAGGGACTTAGTCAAAACAGCAAGAGTACCTTGAACGTCGCGCAGCGTATCGTGCAGACCGTCGACCGGATTAAGCTGAGAATTTGCTATATCGAAGCTCACTCTAAGAGCTTTAAAATAAGCCAAGTTGCCTCGCGAAAAGTTCTGCCATTACGAAGTTATGGCTCGGACAGCGTTAGCCTAGCTTTGGAGTGCTAGCATACTAGCGTTGACTTGGGTAGCATTCCGCCGTCGCATCGCGTAGAAACGAAATTCCAGCAAGGAAGGAATTCGCTTGAATCAATTTCACTATGTTCAGGTACAAACAGAGAAGGAATAAATAGCTCTAGCTAGCAAGGACCTTGGGAATCAACCTGGGAACAACCAGGGATGATCCCAAATAATTCCAAGCAACAGAACCAACCTGGCTGAACAAAATAGCAGGTGATAGGTTGGTGAACAACCTCTGGTTCTGTTTTTCCAACCTGGGAAAACAACAACCAGGTTCAGGTCCTAAAAACAGAACCTGTTTTGTCTTTGCCCAACCAGCCAAATGCTGGTTCCGCTGGTTTCCCCTGGCCCTGTAGCATGCAGATACAGACAAACAACATCCAACCTTCACCTAAATTGTACCCCTATAGTGCCTGCCCTGCTACACTATAGACAACCAAACAAAACAGTACAATTTCGAGTTGGATAGAACTGAATCTGCGCAATCAAGTAAGTTGAACCGCAAAGCTTCCATCTTGGGTTCCTTTGCGAGCTCGTCCTTTCTGCTTGTACTGTTCATAGCGCGTACAATGTTATGCCGAAGCGCACATTTTGCGAGTACCTGCAAATGCTTCAAGCGAAAATTGCGAAAGCAAACAAACACACAAACATACCATTCACACGCAAATGCATTCGCACACGCATACTCGTACAAACAGACGGCAGGATGTCGTGCAATGTGAATTTGCACCCAACACACTCCCCCTCAGCCTGCCGGCTGCATCCCCATCATTCCATACTAGTTCATGCTCATTCCACTCATGCGCACACAACGCCAATGAGACTCATCCGCAAGCCTCTTGGTGAGGAAGTCTGCTGGCTGCTGGTGAGTCTTGATGTAGATCGGATTCACCGTCCCCCTCTTCACCTCCTTACGCAGCCAGTGCCACTTGATACGCATGTGCTTATTCAGCCCGTGAAGCACAGCGTTCCTGGCCATCCCAAGAGCTCCCTTGCTATCACAAAACAGCGGCGTAGCAACCTTCTGCTCCTGGCCAATCTCCTCCAACAGCCTCCTCAGCCAAATCACCTCCTTCATTCCATGGAACATCGCCATGTACTCTGATTCCACAGAAGAGAGTGCTGTCTCCGTCTGCTTCTTGGACCTCCAACTAACCGGTCCTCCCCCAACTACGCAGATGTATCCTCCCACAGATGAGGAATCCTCCTTCTCAGAGGCCCACGTAGCATCAGTAAAGCAAGTGAGAAAGAGCTTGCCTTCTCCAAGCCTCTCCCCCTTCTCTTTCAGCACCTCAACCCCTTTCTGCTTCACCTGTGCAGATGCGGAGTATTGAACTCCAATGCTTGGGTGAGAGTTCAGATACTTCACCACACGCTCAGCTGCATCCACCTGCTCCTCTGATGGATTCTGCACTACCCTAGCCAGCTGCCCAACCGAGAAAGAGATGTCGGGTCTCGTGTGAACTGCTGCATACAAGAGGCTGCCCACCAAGGACTGAAATTGCTGCTGCTCCTCGGCTTCAACCCCTTCATCCTCTGCAGCTTTCACAAGCTTGAATTCTGCTGGCAGGGGAGTTGCAACCTTGCGCTCATTCTCAATTCCTTGCTTCTCCCCCAGCTCCTTGATGAACTTCTCCTGGTGCAGTTTCAACCACCTGTGATCTGGATCCCTCTCCACGTGCATCCCGAGGTAGTACTTTACCTCCCCAAGGTTCTTGCACTTGAAGTTCTCCATCAGCTGCTGCTGGACCTTCTGGATCTCCTTCATGCTGCTGCTAAAGAGAAGAATGTCGTCCACATAGACCAGAAACAGCACCAGCTTCTCCCCCTCCCCCTTGAGAAAGAGGCTCTCATCACAGCTGCTGGTCCTGAATCCCATCTCCTCTAAAACAGCTGCCAACTTCTGGTACCAGCAGCGTGGCGCCTGCTTCAAGCCGTAGATAGACTTTTTCAGCTTGCACACCCTGCCCGTACCATCCTCATACCCAGGCGGCTGCGTCATGAACACCTCCTCCTCTAAAATCCCATTGAGGAATGCCGTTGATATATCCATCTGGATAATGAACTTCCCACCAACGGCTGCATCTGCCAACAAGACACGAAGGGTAGGGGGTTTGGCAGTGGGAGCAAAGATCTCATTGAAGTCCCGCTTCTCCTTCTGCATAAACCCCTTAGCCACCAACCTACTCTTGTAGATGGTGACCTGCCCCTTGTCGTCAGTCTTGATCCTTAGCACCCACTTGCATTGTACCGCTTTCTTTCCCTCAGGCAGCACCACTAGTTCCCAAGTCCCATTCTCCAGCAGGCTCTGGTATTCAGCATCCCTGGAAGCTAGCCATTTGTCCCTATCTGGTCCAGCTAATGCCTCCTCCATGCTAGCTGGTTCCTCTGGTGCAGGGGCAAGAAAACAGTACGCAGGTTGATCCTCCTCATCCGGGTCATAGCCATGCGGTAGAATCAGCAATGCCTCCTCGGTCCCAAGCTGCTGCTCCGCTACATCAGCTCCTGCAGTCAGCTTCTTAGTAGCCATACGGGTACGTCCTGGCCTGGAGACGGGTGTCTCCCATCCCTTCATAATAACACCCTTCGGCTTCTTAGTTTTCCCCTGCTGCTGCTCTCCTCCCTCGGATCCAGCAGCTCCACTAGTGCTACCGCTAATCTCCACACCATCACCTCCACCAGCAGGTGCCTCCTGCACCTTCTCTTTATCACCACCCTCTGCAGCTGCCTCCTCTCCCTCCTCCCACACACTAGGAGTCAGGTCCAGCTGCATGGTAATCTGCTCCATCTGCTGGGACACCC